GCCGGGCCTGGTGGTGGGCGCCTGTAGTCCCAGCTACTCGGGAGGCTGAGGCAGGAGAATGGCATGAACCTGGGAGGCAGAGCTTGCAGCGAACCAAGATCACGCCACTGCTCTGCAGCCTGGGCTACGGAGTGAGACTCCATCTCAAAAAAAAAAAAAAAAATTTTGGAATACAAGTGGTAGATTAAATAAACTAATTATAGTAAGATACCGGCCAGGTGTGGTGGCTCACACCTGTAATCCCAGCATTTTGGGAGGCTGAGATGTGAGGATCACCTGAACCCAGGAGTTCAAGACCAGTCCGGGTAACATAGCAATAGCTCATCTTTACAAAAAATAGAAAAAAAATTAACTGGGTTTGTTGGTGCACACCTGTGGTTTCAGCTACTCAGAGGGCTGAGATAGGAGGATCACTTGAGTCCAGGAGATCCAAGCTGCGGTGAGCTGTGATTGTGCCACTGCACTCTAGCCTGAGTGACAGAGTGAGACCATGTCTCAGAAAAAAAGAAAAAAAAAAGACAATATGTTGATAACTGTACTTGGGTTGTGTAAGATAATAGCCCTATTTTTAGCAAATACACACAGAAGCATATAGTGATAAGGGGTCATGATATATATAATTTACCTTCAAATGGTTCAAAAAATTATGTACACACACATATACACGTTGCAGGGGGTGGCAGGAAATGATAAAGAACATGGAATAAAGTATTTACAATAGGTGAGTTTGAGTAAAGGGCATATAGATATTCTTTATCCTATTTTTATTGGTACAACTTTTCCATAAGTTTGAAATTATTGGCTGGGCATAGCGGCTCATGCCTGTAATCCCAGCACTTTGGGAGGCCAAGGCAGGAGGATCACTTGAGGTCACAAGTTCGAGACCAGCCTGGCCAACATGGTGAAACTTTGTCTCTACTAAAAATACAAAAATTAGCCAGACATTGTGGCGCATGCCTGTAATCCCAGCTACTCAGGAGACTAAGGCACAAGCGTTGCTTGAACCCAGGAGGTGGAAGCAGTGAGCCAAGATCATGCCACTGCACTCTAGCCTGGGCAACAGAGGGAGACTCCATCTCCAAAAGACAAACAAACAAACAAAAAAACCCAGAAATTATTAACAAATGAAAATTTTAAAAAAATAAATAAAAATGTTAGAGGCTAGATTCTCCACAGCCAGCTCACTCTCACCCTCTGTATTGTAAACACTTGCATGAGGCTTCAGGCAACTTTCAGACTGACAAGGAAGTTGACAGCACCCAGCCCATAATGGGAGTGTCCTAATGAGTGATGAATCTTATGGTGTGCAACAGCTCTTTCTTCTTCTTCTTTTAAATGACCTGGTCAGCAGGAAGCAGCAAGAGCTTCTTAATAGAACATTGAGGGAGCCAAGTGGGAGAGGCTCAACCAGCTTTTGAACCAGAATAATCTCCAAGAAGTCATAACCTTTTTGGTTTTGCCCTCTTTACCTGCAGGTGGATTCATCAGGGTGCTTTGGGTTGAATGTAACTAGACTGGGTCAAGACGGCCTTAAGTGACTAGAGCACTTAGTATCACCTCAGGTAACAATACACCAATAGGTGGGCTGTTTCAGGGTTGGCTGTTTCAGCATCTCAGTTCTGGGGTATTGGATTAGCTTGTTACTGGACAGGGGTCCCAATCCAGACCCCAAGAGAGGGTTCTTCGATCTCATGCAAGAACAAATTCAGGGCGAGTCCACATAGTAAAGTGAAAGCAAGTTTATTAGGAAAATAAGGGAATAAAGAAAGGCTACTCCATGGTTATTTCTTGATCATATGATAAACAAGGGGTGGATTATTCATGCCTCTCCTTTTAGACCATATAGGGTAACTTCCTGATGTTGCCATGGCATTTGTAAACTGTCAGGGTGCTGGTGGGTGTGTAGCAGTGAAGATGACCAGAGGTCACTCTCATCGCCATCTTGGTTTTGGTGTGTTTTAGCCGGCTTCTTTACTGCAACCTGTTTTATCAGAAAAATCTTTATGACGTGTATCTTGTGCTGACCTCTTGTCATCCTGTGACTTAGAATGCCTAATTGCCTAAGAACATAGCCCAGTAGGTCTCAGCCTTATTTCATGCAGCCCCTACTCAAGATGGAGTTGCTCTGGTTCAAATGCCTCTAAGCTTCTGAAGGATTCCTCATGGTCTCAAAATGGCGGCTGCAACTTCAAATGTCACATTCTAGCGCAGCAATGTCCAAAGGCTGGAAGAATATGTGTGTGAGAGAAAAGAAGTTGGGAGGTGGGAAAGTCTCTCTCTTTTAACAGAAAGGAACATCCTTCCCAGAAACCCTCAGCAGACCTCCACCAAAGCCTCAACTGCCAGAACTGCTTCCAGTGCTTACTCCAAGACTGTCCACAGGATTTCCATGGCTGGCTCAGACTAATCAGAATTAATTTCCTGCTCCTGACATGTTGTGTTTCATTCCAACAAAATTAGGTTCTGTTGGCAGGGGAGAAGGGGAATGAAGTAATCAACAGAATCTCTTTTAGGGCTTTATTTATAGGTTGGTGCAAAAGTAGTTGTGGTTTTTACCATTTCTTTTTAAAAAATGGCAAAAACCACAATTACTTTTGTACTAACCTACTATTTATTTATTTATTTATTTTCTGAGACAGGGTCTCATTCCATCACCCAAGCTAGAGTACAGTGGCATGATCATAGCTCAGTGCAGCCTCGACCTTCTAGGCTCAATTGATCCTCCCACCTTAGCCTGCCGAGTAGCTGGGACTACAGGCACATGCCACCACACCTGGCTAATAGTGGTATTTTCTGTAGAGATGGGGTTTCGACATGTTGCTCAGACTGGTCACAAATTCCTGGGTTCAAGTGATCCTCCATCCTTGGCCTCCCAAAGTGCTGAGATTGTAGGCATGAGCCACCACACCCTGCCATATGGCTTTGATGATTTCCTGAGTGGGCACCATGGATCTGTTTTTGTGATCTGGACCAAAAACCAACTTGGACTTCCCAGAGTGCTGAGATGCCCAGAGCACTGAAACATGAGAGGAAGATTTATGGCCTAGACTAGACTATACTGGACACCAATTTCTTTGGGAAACTTCCCCTCGCTCGCTTCCACTCCCTGCAGTTCAGGTGAGGCTGTTTCTACCCCTTGGTTCCACTAATAAGCATGTGACCAGGCCTGGACAATCAAAGCATTGCCTTCTTCGAGTGACAATAATTGGTTCAGAGACACGCCATGACTTGTGTTCGTCCAATCAGAGTGAATGCTGCAACTTCAGCAGCATTTCCAGGAAGTGACTTCCTTTCCCACCACACTCATACCTGGCAGGATGCAGGCCTGGAGCTAGTGGTTGCCAGCTTGCTATCAAGGAGAGACTAAGACTGGAGCCAACTCACTGAAGAGCAAAGCCAAGAGATGGCAAGAGACTATGTCTGGTAACCTCATTTGAGTTTCTGAACCCAGCCAGGTCTGAAGCCAGTACTTTTCAGTTACTTACTCCAGTGCTTTTCAGTTACTTAAGCCAATAAATTGCTTTTTGCATATAAATCAGTTTCAAATGGGGCTTCTGTCATTTACAAATAAAAGAATGCTAGGCTGGGCACAGTAGCTCATGCCTATAATCCCAGCACTTTGAGAGACCAAGGTGGGAGGATTGTTTGAGCTCAGGAGTTTGAGACCAGCAACATAGCGGGACCCCCATCTCTATCTAAAAAAGAAAAAAAAAAGTATACATACAAATAAAAGAATCCCAAGTTTCTCAGTGTTTTGAGAAATATGTTTGAAATACAAATTGAAAACATGTTTGAAAGACAAATTCCCAGGTGACTGAGACACCTGTCCTGGGACCTGAACCTCCACCTTTGGAACAAGCTCCTCCAGGACCCCTAACAAGTAGGTAGTCCTGCCTTTATAGTCTGAGACTCTCTGACGCAGACTTTGGGGAAGGATGGTCTCTTAATTCTGCATGGGAGACAAAAGAGACCCAGTCTTTTCCATCACAAAGCCCCAACTACCTTCTTGGCAGAGTAGGGAAATGCTTTTCATTCTTTCCCAGTGACCCTGGAATTGAGTAAATGAAAGACAGTTGATTTCCCAATCGGGTTATTCCACCACGTTGAACTTTTGGTAACTGTCCTTGCCCCATCGTGTTGCTAAAGCATTCAGGTTGAACAGTGTTCAGGAAGAACACTCAAGCAAAAACTGGTTTGCAGCCAAATCCAGAGACTGCAAACCCCAGTGGTTTCAGGGGCCAGGCAGGGAGAGTAAACATGTGAAACAATAGGGAGTAGTCCTGTCTGTGGGGGACAGAAGAGTTCTCATGCCCCAGCCTAATAAATGAAAAAATTATTTACACCGCAGTGGAACCAGAGATGCACCTAAAGCCATTGGGATGTGGTTTCTCTTTTTCATCTCACTGCTCTGTGTCTGATGTGGCTTCATTTTCAGAGGATTGTGGGCTCACAAGCCAACATCCTGACAGTTTAGAAACCACAGCAGAAATGTTTCTCTTTCTCAATTGTTTCAACATCAATCCTGGATGAAACCGTTATTGGCCTTGTTTGAGTTCAGGTGGTCATCCCTGAACCATCACTGTACCTGAAAGAGGTATGGCGGTGTCATTGGCCAGACCTGAGTCTGACGCATCCTGGAGTGGAGTTCAGGCCCACTTTAACCATATAGACTGAGAATGGGGAATGGGAAAGTAGGTTTCATGCCTTTGTTTGGGCTCCCTCAGAAGCAGACTCTGAGATGAGGATTTGAGGTGCAAGTGGATTATTTGGAAGATGATTCCAGAAAGCACCATTAGGGGATTGAGGGAATGAGACAGAGAAGAGAAGCCTGCTGAAACAGGAAGTATTATCAAGCAAGTTACCACTGTGGACAACTGGAGCACAATCCCATCAGTGAACTCTGCCAGCCAGTGTAGAGCATCGTTTTAGTCTATTTTGTGCTGCTATAACAGAATACCACAGACTGGGCAATTTAAAACAATAGAATTTTATTTGGCTCATGGTTATGGAGGCTGGGGAGTCCAAGGGCATAGTGCTGGCATCTGGCAAGGGCCTTCGTGCTGCATCATTCATGATGGAAGGTGAAAAGGTAAGAGAAGGCAAGGGTGAGCAAGAGATTGAACTCGCAGCCTCAAGACATTTCACAATCGGCATGAATCTGTTCTCATGAGGGCTCCATTAGGCTCCACTCTCCAGCACATTTGAATTGGGGATTAAGTTTCCAATACATGCTTTTGGGGGTACACATTCAAACCATAGCAAACATAGACTTCAGTGTTATCCCATCTTAAGGCTGAGGGAGCTGGGGTATTTATCTACCAACTCTGTCAGTCATTGTCTGACAGTTGCTACCAGGAGTGTTTTTGCCCAGAACTTCCAGCATGGAAGAGCAAAGTGGTCCCTGCTGGACTGAGAAAGTCCTCAGACAAAGAGATGAAGCTTGGACCAGGGTGCATTGAAGGTTAGGACAATGGCCAGGGCACCAATAGCCTTTGCTTCATTGTCTGAAGGAAAATTGGGGTGCTAGGATCAGAAGAAGGCACTGATGTTGCACAGGTCAAACAAACATACGTTCATCCAAGGAGTGAAGTGGTTGGCCCACTCACTGTCTGAGTCCATTAACCAAGCAGTGGCAGGGAAGGGTATATTCTGTTGCTTTAAGGAACTGGCATGAAAGCTGCACTTGTTACTTTTGTTCACATCTCATAGGCCAGGATGTCATCAAATGGCCATATCTATATGTGGGGAAATGTAGCTTTTGACTGTCCAGCCAAATCTCAGGGATTATGGCTGGGTGTGGTGGCTCACTCCTGTAATCCCAGCACTTTGAGAGGCTGAGGTGGGAGGATTGCTTGAGCCTAGGGGTTTGAGACCACCCTGGGCAGCAAAATGAGACTCTTGCCTTTACAAAAAAAAAAAAAATGTTTAAACTACCTGGGCATGTTGGCACATGCCTGTAGTCCTGGCTACTTGGGAGGCTGAGGCAAGGGAATTGCTTGGGCTCAAGAGTTCGAGGCTGCAATGAACTATAATCGTGCTCCTGCACTCTGGCCTGGGTGACAGAGTGAGACCCTGTCTCAAAAAAAAAAAAAAAAAAAAAAAAATTACAGGGATTCTGCTACTTAAAGAAGGGGAAGGAAGGGCCAAATGTTTTTTCCTGGCAAGACTTTTGTTTATATTTCAGAAGGAATGCCTTCCCAGTGGACTTCAACCTACATCTCATTATCCTGAACCGTGTCTCACTGCCTCCACTGGAGAACCAAGTATTTAGCTTCCTGGTCTCTCTAATAGAAGAAGGCAAGGGGAAGGGGATTGGGAGTGGGCAGTTTGGGCAGGATGATCAATGATCCTGGTTTGCCTGGGACTAAGGATATTCTGGAGACATGGGATTTTCAGTGGTAAGGCTAACCTCCAGGATCTGCAGCCATACCCCATGTGGCTTGAGACCTCAACTCCAGTTAGAGAGATGTTATCCTCTCTGTCACCTCCTCCTCCTAACAACCTTCTCTTTCTCTTCACCACTTCCTCTTCAACTGAAAGGTGGTCAGGTCCTCTGCTATGCCCTACATCCACTTACACTCTGTCCTCATGGTTGGACCTCCTTGGCCCTCAACTCTGCCCTAACTTCTGGGAACTTCAGTGGTGCCAGAGCCTCTGTCCAGCTCTCAGCATCTCCCTTACCTCCGCCATCTTGTTTCCAGCCATCTTGGGTCCTTGGAGTCCAGAGTTTGCAGAAGTGGAAATGGAGAAGCTGGAGAGAGAAGGTACTTGCTGGTCTCACTGAAACAGTCAGGACTCAAGCTCTCAGCCCAAGGCTCTTTGCTCTGCACTCCTCAAAATCTTTGGTGCTTGTTGTTCAACTAGCTTGACATTTCTCCACCTCTGAGGTGATGACCTCCCTCCAAGATGCCTGCAGTCAGAGGGCAGGAAGCGTGGCACATAATGGGGCCTCAAGAAACACTGCAAAATACCTCTAGGACCCCCTTCTGGCTCTCAAATGATCTCGGGGACAACTCGGCCTATCCAAACAGAAAGAATTCAGGATTATTTCCCTCCTCAAATCTGTTTCCTTACCACCTCCTGAGCGGTAGGGGTGGCTTGGACCCCAATAATGACATTTTTATATAACTTGGAGTTTATTATTTTTTCTTTCTTTCTTTTTTTTTTTTTTTTTTTTTTTTTTAAAGACAGAGTCTTGCTTTGTCGCCCAGGCTGGAGTGCAGTGGCACGATCTCGGCTCAATGAAACCTCCACCTCCCAGGTTCAAGCAATTTTTGTGCCTCAGCTTCCTGAGTAGCTGGGACTACAGGCATGTGCCACTGGGCCGGGCTAATTTTTGTATTTTTAGTAGAGACAGGATTTTGCCATATAATTTGGAGTTTCACAACGCCAGCACTATTTAGATTTTGGGTCAAATAATTCTTGAATGGGGATGGGGGTGTGGGCTGTCCTGTTCACTATAGGAGGTTTAGGGACAGACCTGACCTCCACTCACTAAATGCCCAGAGAACCCTCCTCCCCAATTATGTCAGTGCCTCCAGACATTGCTAAATGTCCACTGGGAGACAAAAATCACTCCTGAACCACTGATCTAGACAGTCAGTATTTTCTTAATATAAAAAGTAGGGCCAGGCGCAGTGGCTCACAAAGTGCTGTAATCCCAGCACTTTGGGAGGCCGAGGCGGGCGGATCACGAGGTCAGGAGATCGAGATCATCCTGGCTAACATGGTGAAACCCCGTCTCTACTAAAAATACAAAAAAATTTAGCCGGGTGTGGTGGCGGGCACCTGTAGTCCCAGCTGCTCGGGAGGCTGAGGCAGGAGAAGCGCATGAACCCAGAAGGCGGAGGTTGCAGTGAGCCAAGATCACGCCACTGTACTCCAGCCTGGGTGACAGAGTGAGACTTTGTCTCAAAAAAAAAAAAAAAAAAAAATATATATATATATATATATATAGGGAGGGGAGCAACAAGCAACTTCAGAAAACGAAGTCCCTTTCATTGAGTGATTGAGTGCCGCCTTCTATGGAAAAACCTCAAGCTCACTACTCAAGTGCAGCTTGGAACGAAGGCCCTGGCAAACCCTGCCATTCAGTTGGCTTCTCTCAGTGGGTCACACTCAGAGATTTCTGGCGCCACTGCCACTCTCCCCACCCCCTCTCACGCAGAACAATGGGACTCTCTCTGCCTCTGACCTTCTTCACACCCAGCACTTTACTCCATTTTCCTGGACCTTTATGTTGTGGGCAACTTTGTTTGTGCTAAGTCAACAGAAAATGCTTCTTGGTCTCTATACCCCTGAGAGCACATGGTGCATTAATAAGTTTAACCCAGGGTTTCCCAACCTTGGCGCTACTGACATTTTGGGCTGGCTCATTCTTTGCTTGGGGGGCTGTCCTATGTGTTGTCTGATGTGTAGCAACATCCCTGGCCTCCACTCACAGATGCCAGGGGCAACACCACACCTGGTTGTAACCAAAACTTTTTCCAGACATTATCAAATATCCTCTGGGGAAAAAAAAATCACCCTCAGTTGAGAACCATTGTCAACTCCTACTAGGAACCACTGAGGTTAGTAATACTATTATTTTTATTTATTTATTTATTGAGATAGAGTCATGCTCTGGTATCCAGGCTGCACTGCAGTGGCACTATCTCGGCTCACTGCAACTTCTACCTGCCAGGTTCAAGCGATTCTCCTGCCTCATCCTCCCGAGCAGCTGGAATTACAGACACCTGCCACCACGCCCGGCTAATTTTTTATATTTTTAGTAGAGACAGGGTATCACCATGTTTCTCAGGCTGGTCTCGAAATTCTGACCTCAAGTGATCTACCTGCCTCGGCCTCCCAAAGTGTTAGGATTACAGGTGTGAGCCACTGTGTCCAACCATATTATTATTACTTTAGAGATGAGGAAATCAGGATTATAGAAGTGTGATGACTTGTTCAGGTGTAAGGGGCAAAGTCAGGAACTGGAATTTCTCCCATGCCAGTGATTTCTTTTTCTTTTCTTTTTTTTTTTTTTTGAGATGGAGTTTTGCTCTTGTTGCCTAGGCTGGAGTGCAGTGGCATGATCTCGGCTCACTGCAACCTCGGCCTGCTGGGTTCAAGCAATTCTCCTGCCTCAGCCTCCCGAATAGCTGGAATTACAGGTGCCTGCCACCACACCCAGCTTATTTTTTGTATTTTTAGTAGAGACAGGGTTTCACAATGTTGACCAGGTGTGTCTGGCACTCCTGACCTCAGGTGATCCACCCGCCTTGGCCTCTCAAAGTGCTGGGATTACAGGCATGAGCCACCACGCCCGGCCTAACCTGGTGATTTTCAAATTCACTGGCAGATAAATGTCACTGGGGCCTTTGCTAACAGAGGCCTGGCCCCATGCCAGACCCACTGCATCAGAACCTTTAGGAAAGGGACCAAGGGTTCTGTATTCCCTACAAGATCCCTTTCCTGACAACCTGCAAGCATCAATATTTAACAGCCAATATCCTCTGTTTTTATAGCTTTTCTCACATGAACCCCCACTGCTTATTTTTTACTTTTTATTGTTGTTGTTATAAATGAGACAGGGTCTCGTTATGTTGCCCAGGTTGGTCTCCAACTCCTGAGCTCAAGTGATCCTCTTACCTTGGCCTCCCAAAGTACTGGGATTATAGGTGTGAGCCACTGTGCCTGGTCTTTTAAATATTTTTAGAGTTGGGGTGCACTGGCTATTCGTAGGAGTGATCATGGCACACCACAGCCTTGAACTCCTGGCCTTAGCCTCAGAAGCTGGGACTACAGACATGCTCAGGATGTTCAGCTTGCCATTACCACTTCAGAGAAGAAACTGAAGCACAAAGAGATTGTGACTTACCTGAAGCCATATAGAAAGTGAGAATAGGCCAGGTGCAGTGGCTCAAGCCTGTAATCCCAGCAGTTTGGGAGGTTGAGGTGGGAGGATCACTTGAGCCCAGGAGTCGGAGACCAGCCTGGGCAACACGGCAAAACTCCATCTCTACAAAAAATACAAAAATTAGTCAGGTATGATGGCACTCACCTGTAGTCCCAGCTATGTGGGAGGCTGAGGTGGGAGGATTGCTTGAGCATGGGAGGTCAAGGCTGCAGTAAGCCATTATTGTACCAGTGCATTTGAACCTAGGTAACAGAGCGAGACCATCTCAAAAAAAAAAAAAAAAAAAGAGGCCAGGCAAGGTGACTTAGGCCTGTAATCCCAGCACTTTAGGAGGCTGAGGCAGGTGGATTGCCTGAGGTCAGGAGTTTGAGACCAGCCTGGCCAACATAGTGAAACCCCGTCGCTACTAAAAATACAAAAATTAGCCAGGAGCGGTGGCGCATGCCTGTAACCCCAGCTACTCAGGAGGCTGAGGCAGGAGAATCGCTTGAACCTGGGAGGCGGAGGTTACAGTGAGCCGAGATAGGACCACTGCCCTCCAGCCTGGGTGACAGGGTGAGACTGTGTCTCCAAAACAAAAAAGTGAGAAGAAAAATAAATAAAAATTAAAATAACAAAAAATAAGAAACAGAAACACACACACACACACTTGCAAAATCGAACAAAAGGAACCAAGAAAAGGAAAAAATGAAACAAACAAAAATAAACCAGAAAAAAGAAAATGAGAAGAATGTAGAATGTCATCTTGTGCCTAGGTCATCCCTCCGGGTAGACGTCTTGGAGCTGGGATTCTCGTAGATAAACAAGATGTACACATTTTCCTGTGTGCTTGCAGCTATACACACACACTTGGACACACAAACACTGGGGCCGGAGAGAGGCCCAGCCTCCCCTTAGTCACATTGTTGTCCAATGTCCCCCACCCCCACCTGGGGTTCTGTAAGTAAAAAAGAAGGAACAGGATGAGTATTCAACAGGCAACCTTTAGATTTTCCATGGACCTCACCTCATTTGATAGACAGAAAAGTTTATACAGCAAGTTCATTGGGAGGACCAGGCCTTCAGCCCACTTTCTGGGCCAGCGGACTCCACACCACCTGTTACAACTGGAGATTGAGTGTCTGCCGGAAGCTGTTTCCTGGGGAACTGCAGCCAACTGCTGACCGCTCAGGAGCTCTTTATCCCTCACCAACCCACCTCCCTGGGATCTACCCAGGACCTGCCTGCTTGAGTAACAGGATGCGACCCTATGTCACCAGTGCACTTACTGCCCATTGAAAGTCCTTGTGAGTCATTCTCCAAGTTTCCAAGGAAAAAAAAAAAACTCCTAGATAGGGGCCCATCCCAGAAATAAATAAAACGCTGGCCCAGGGCCCAGACTTTCAGAGAAATCAGCTGGCCTACTTGTGGGTGGGAGGTGGCGAGGGGGGTCACCTTGAACCGAGGTCTCTCTGGACAGAACTGTTTTCTTATTCAATCATTCATTCATCATCTATTTATAGACATGACATTTATTCATGCATTCAGCTAATATTTATTAGAGGGGCGAAATACCTCTCACTTCTAACCCACACATTTCTGAGTTGTTTACATTCATTATTACACAAGTATGTGCTGCTTTCATTTTTTTTTAGCTTTGCTTTTAATTAATTAACTAATTTATCTATTTAGCAATCCCAGGATGGAGACAGGTTTGATTATTTTAAAATAACAGGCCAGGCGTGGTGGCGCACACTTGTAATCCCAGCTACTCAGGAGGCTGAGGCAGGAGAATCGCTTGAACCCAGGAGGTGGAGGTTGCGGTGAGCCGAGATCACGCCACTGCACTCCAGCTTCAGCCATAGCCTGTCTCAAAAATTAAAAAGAGAGAGAGAGAGATGCTGCTTTCTGATCCAGAGGACATACATGCCCCACTGGCAAGACAGAAGATCCTCAATTTGGACAGCTACCTGGAGAAGTTGACCTCTAAGCTGAAAACTCAGGGATGAACATTGCCAGGTGACAGGGAGGAAATGCCCAGAAATGGTGCTCTAGGCAAAGGGAACAGCATGTCCAAAGATCAGGAGGTCACGTCTTATTTCCAAAAATGCAAGTGTTTGACACGATACTGTAGGAAGTGGAAGAGGAAGTGATGAGGCCAGAGAAAAAGACAGAAAGGCAGGGAGCCCGCTTAAAGGAATCGCTAATTAACCACCCCCATTCCACCCTTCCCGCCAACCTCCCCACCCTCACCCTACTCCTAGGGCCATGACTCAGTCATGGGGTTTTCACACTCTCTCACTTCAAGCTGGGCACAGTTTCTGTATCTCAGCCAACGTGTCATTCATCCGCAGATCATGTCATCCCCCCAATCCACACCATGGTTCCGGAATGTCAGCTGATTCTCATGAATCAGACCACAAATCTTCCAGAGTGTGTTTTTTTTTTTTTTTTTTTCTCGTTTCTTTTTTGAAACGAGGTCTTGCTCTTGTCCCTCAGGCTGGAGTGCAATGGCGTGATCTCGGCTCACTGCCTCCACCTCCCGGCTTCAAGCAATTCTCCTGCCTCAGCCTCCTGAGTAGCTGGGATTACAGGTGCCTGCCACCCACATCTGGCTAATTTTTGTAGTTTTAGTAGAGATGGGGTTTTGCTATGTTGGCCAGGCTGGTCTCGAATTCCTGAACTTTTGATCTGCCCGCCTTGGCCTCCCAAAGTGCTGAGACGACAGATGTGAGTCACCGCTCCCGGCCACTTCCAGAGTTTTATAAGGTGAAAAAATCTTACATTGAAAATCAAGGGAGCATTAATAAATATTATACCGCTGGATGCATTGCCCACAGATAGGCAGGCAAGTTTTGTTCAATTGGAGGCACTTTATGACTAGGTCTAAAGTCGCCATTTAGCTGAGTGTCCTATCTCTAGCAGCCGGGTCTCATTTCATGCTCAGAGGAAACTTATGAGGAAAATGCTTTTGCTATCCCTACTTCACAGAAGAGAACTGAAGCCTGGAATGTAAGACACTTGCCTCGAATCTCATATATCCGATCACTTTTTTTTTTTTTTTTTTTGAGACAGGGTCTCAAGCAGCCACCCCAACTGGAGTGCAGAGACTGGAACACAGTTCACTGCAGCCTTGACCTCCCCGGGGTCAGGTAATCCTCCCACCTCAGCCTCCTAATTAGCTAGGACTACAGGTATGCACCAACACACCCAGCTAATTTCTGTATTTTTTTTTTCCGAGACGGAGTCTTGCTAAGTTGCCCAGGCTGCAGTGCAGGAGTGCAATCTCAGCTCACTGCAGCATCCGCCTGCTGAGTTCAAGTGATTGTCTTGCCTCAGCCTCCCAAGTAGCTGGGATTACAGGCATGTGCCACCACACCCGACTAATTTTTGTATTTTTAGGTATTTTTAGGAGAGACGAGTTTTCGCCATGTTGGCCAGGCTGTTCTCAAACTCCTAACCTCAGGTGATCCACATGCTTTGGCCTCCCAAAGTGCTGGGATTACAGGTATGAGCCACTGCACCCAGCTGCCTAGCTAATTTTTAAAAATTATTTGTAGAGATGAGGTCTTACTATGTTGTCTAAGCTGGTCTCTAACTCCTGGGCTCAAGAGATCCTCTCAGCTCAGCCTCCCAAAATGCTAGAGTACAGGCGTGAGCCACTGGGTCCAGTCATGATCTTTGTTTAATCTTTACAAGAGAAAATCCCCATTTATGATAGGGGAAAACTGAGGCCAGAGAGTTGCAGCAACTTGCCAGAGACACAGTAAAAGTAAGGGAGTGCTCCTACACTGCTGATAGGAATGCAAAGTGGGGCAGCCACTTTGGAAAACAGTGTAGCAGTTCCTCAAAAGGCTAAACAAGCCAGGTGCAGTGACCCAGGTGCCTGTAATTCCAGCACTTCGGGAAGCTGAGACGGGAGGATCACTTGAACTTAGGAATTTGAGACCAGCCTGGGCAACCTTGATACTGAGACCCCCTCTCTACTGAAAAAAGAAAAAAAGTGTAAACATAGGGTTACCATATCATCCAGCAATTTTCCCCCTAGGTATTTACCCAAGAATGGAAAACATACATCCTCACAAAATTTGTACATGAAAGTTCACTGCAGTATTATTCATTATAGCTCAAAGTGAAACCAATCCAAATGTCCAACAACTGATAGATGAAGAGATATATATATATTTTAGACAGTTTCCCTCTGTCACTCAGGCTGGAGTACAGTGGTACAATCTCAGCTCACTGCAGCCTCCACCTCCTGGGTTCAATCAATTATCCTGTCTCAGTCTCCCGAGTAGCTGGGATTACAGGTGTCCGCCATCAAGCCCAGCTAATTTTTCTATTTTTAGTAGAGATGTGTTTTCACCACGTTGACCAGACTGGTCTTGAACTCCTGACCTCAGGTGATCCGCCTGCCTCAGCTTCTCAAAGTGCTGGGATTACAGGTGTGAGCCACCACGCCTGGCCTATAAATGAATAAATAAATGTATGTATCCATACAATGGAGTCTTATTGAGCAATAAAAAGTAGAGGCTGACACTTACTACAATATAGATTAACTGGAAAAACATGTTAAACAAAAAAACTGGCCGGGTGCAGTGGCTCACACCTGTAATCCTAGCACTTTGGGAGGCAGAGGCAGGCGGATTGCCTGAGCTCAAGAGTTTGAGACCAGCCTGGGCAAGAGGGTGAAACCCCATCTCTACTAAAATACAAAAAATTAGCTGGGCGTGGCAGCATGCGCCTGTAGTACCAGCTAGTTGGGAGGCTGACGCAGGAGAATTGCTTGAACCTGGGAGGCAGAGGTTGCGGTGAGCCGAGATCATGCCACTGCCCTCCAGCCTGGGTGACGGAGCGAGACTCCATCTCCATAAAACAAACAAACAAAACACAAAAAACAAATGAACAGCATAAAGGAGCATATGTTACATGATTTCATTTGTGTGAAATGTCCAGTATAGGTAAATCTGTAGAGGCAGAAAGTAGATTAGTGGTTGCCAGGGCAGGGGGGATTTGGGAGAAAATGAGGACTGACTGCTAATGGGGTTTCTTTTGGGAGTGGTGAAAATGCTCTAAAATTGATAGGGGACTTGGTTACCCAACTCCAAATGTATGAAAACCCATGGAATCATACACTTTAAACAGGTAAATTATGTGGTATCTCAGTAAAGCTGTTACAGGAAAAAGTTTTAAAAAGTGATAATAATAGGGCCGGGCGCAGTGGCTCATACCTGTAATCCCAGCACTTTTGGAGGCCAAGGCGGGCAGATCACCTGAGGTCAGGAGTTTGAGATCAGCCTGACCAACATGGCAAAACCCCATCTCTACTAAAAATGCAAAATTAGCTGGGCGTGGTGGCACACACCTGTAATCTCTGCTACTTGGGAGGCTGAGGCAGAATTGCTTGAACCCAGGAGGCAGAGGTTGCAGTGAGCCAAGATTGCGCCAGTGCACTCCAGCCCGGGCAACAGGAGGAAAACTTTGTCTCAAAATAATAGTAATGATAATAGGCCCAGCACAATGGCTCATGCCTGTAATCCCAGCACTTTGGAAGGCCAAGGCAAGTGGATGACTTGAGGTCAGGAGTTTGAGACCAGCCTGGCCAGCATGGTGAAACCCAGTCTCCACTAAAAGTGCAAAAATTAGCCTGGTGTGGTGGTGCATGCCTGTAGTCCCAGCTACTTGGGAGGCTGAGGCAGAAGAATTGCTTGAACCCAGGAGGTGGAGGCCACAGTGAGCCAAGATCACACCACTGCACTCCGCCCTGGGCGACCGTGCAAGACTCCATAATAACAACAAAAATGACAATAATAATAATAATAATAATAATAATGGGGTAGGTGGAGATCATGACCTAAACCATGTCTGTGTTTGAACATCTGCACTTATTATGTGCTCAACTAGCCTGAGCCAAAAAGAGCAAGGAGGGGAGCAGAATATATTAGCTCATACAATTCAAAAGTCCAGGAGTATTTCAGGCATGGCTGGATCCAGGAACTTAAGTAATGTCAGTGGGACTTTGTCTTGCTCTATTTCTCCAGTTCAGATTTGCCCTGTTCTGCCTTCCTTTTCAAGTAGGTGACAAAGATGGCCTTGCAGCTCTAGACTGCTGAGCTCTTATGATCCTGAGGGAGGATCTTTTTCCTTATAGTGTTTAGTAAAGATCTGATGGAAGGTTCACATTGACCTGACTGGGGTCACCTTTGAATTAATCACCATAGCCAGAATAATTTTCTGCTCTGGTGGGCTAAGACTGGG